CAATGTGCTGAGCCCGGTCGCACAGCGTTCAATTGAAAATAGTAGTAGTATAGTAGTAGTAGTAGTAGTAGTAGTAGTAGTAGTAGTAGTAGTAGTAGTAGTAGTAGTAGTAGTAGTAGTAGGGCCTGTAATCACTCACCTGGCATGTCTACATACCACAGACATGCGTCGGGCCGGGACGCAGCGCATGTCACCTTGCCGCCGGAGCTGCGCCGTCGAGTCGACGCTGTCGCCGAACTCGTGCCTGCCGTTTTATCACAGCAGGGCAGCTACGTAGTCAACGGGCTCAGTTCATGTTGACCATGCTAGCAGATCAATGTATAACACAGATGAGGAAATGCTGTGCCATCTGTGCCACAAGCAGGACCTCGCACGACACGAATCAGCATACACGCAGAGACAAAGCTCCAAGCTACAGCCAGCCAAAGCACAAGCACTCCTAGTTGTAGGTCTGCCAGCCTTCGTCATGGTGAAGCGAGCCGCGAAATGCATGCTGTGCAGCAAAACGCGCGCTCTGCGCGAAGTCAAGAAGGAAAGCCTGCTGGAGGCTGCGAAGGCAGCTGCGAAGAAGCCACTTCCGAGGCGGTGGGGGTCGACCTCGTTTGCATCGGGTCTGCACGTTAATTACTTGTTAGCTTACGTTGGAGTCAGGACAACAGTACTGTGAAAGGCCGCGGCGAGGGAGGTCTCTGCAGAGGCCGCCTATCAGGACTCTTTGCAGGGTTTAGGGGTCTTGGTTCATGGGTTCCTGTTGGAGGAGGTGTCATGTCCTTGGCATAATTCTGTCGTTTCTCAGCATCATCCCGGAAGACAGTGACGGGGATGTTTGATCTTGGCTCCTTGTTCAGAGGGGTTTGGGGTTTTGGTTCATGGGTTCCTGCTGGAGGAGGTGTCATGTGGAGTCGGGGTTGGCTTACTGTGAAGGCAGAAGCGTCAACATGAAACGATGACGGTCTAATCGCACTCGAAAACACATCAGCATCAGCAGCGCTTGTAACCTTACCACATTTACCATTTGCTTCGTCCATCCCGGGTTGGGCAGCCATACAGCGGTGACTTCTCATGTTGCAATCACGCAGATCTGCCCAACTCACTGCAGTTGATTCTACTGCTAAGAGCACCCCATCCAAGCGCAGCACATGGCTTACGTCGTGCATGAAGCGCTCCGGCTCTTCTTTTCCGCGCTCCAGCTCAGAGGAACTTGCCCAGCGTCGGGTCTTCGTCGTGGAAGACAGTAACGCCGATGTTTGATCTTGCCCCCCTGTTCTACTGCGAAAGGTCGCGGCGATGGAGGTCTCGACAGAGGCCGCCCATCAGGACTCTTTGCAGGGTTTAGGGTCTTGGTTCATGGGTTCCTGCTGGAGGAGGTGTCATGTCCTTGGCATAATTACGTCATTTCTCCGGATCATCGTGGAAGACAGTGACGGGGATGTTTGATCTTGGCTCCTTGTTCAGAGGGTTTTGGGGTCTTGGTTCATGGGTTCTGGTGGAGGAGGTGTCATGTGGAGTCGGGGTTGGCTTATTGTGAAGTGAAGGTAGAAGCGTCAACATGAAACGATGACGGTCTAATCGCAGTCGAAAACACATCAGCAGCAGCGATTGTAACTTTACCACATTTACCATTTGCTTCGTCCATGTCGGGTTGGGCAGACATGCAGCTGCGAGTTCTCATGTTGCAATCACGCAGACCTGCCCAACTAACTGCAGCTGATTCTACTGCTAAGAAAGGGCAGCGCATGGCCTACGTGGTGCATGAAGCGCTCTTGCTCTTCTTTTCCATGCTTCAGCTCAGAGGAACTTGCCCGGCGTCGGGAGGAGGTGCTCGCCAGCTTGGGCAGCTGGTGCCAAGCACTCAAGGCTGGGTTAAGGTAACGATAATTATAATTACTTATAACCCCAATTAAGGTACTTATAACCTTATACTTTATAAGTCCCATGATCCTCCTAGGGTTCTCAGGTTGTTCAAAATTTTTTTAGAAGTCAACGGCGCCATATGGATTTCGGAACTACTTCGAGTCGACTACAGACCAACGTGTGCTTGCAAGCCGGCCAGCCTCGGTAAACGTCCCAAGTTCGGAGTATGCAGCTTCACATGAAGAATACGTTCGTTGAAACAACACTTTTCGCACATGGATGCATGCACGTGGGCTCATATATATATATATATATGCACGCACAACTTTGATGGGCTGTGGGTTAGCTACTGATTTAGCGAGGTTGCCGCTGTTAGTAAGTATACACTAACAATGGTGTAACCATGTTCTAAGTGCAGTGTAAAGGGTTATAACTGTTCTAAATGAATAGATGAAATGCTAACTGTTAGAGTAAAATTAGGATCATGTTAATTTCATGTTAATTTTAGCATAATTTTAGCAGCTTGTGTTTTTAATTTTTGATAAGGGAAATGTATGTATTTGAATCATGCTTCTTCCTGGCTTCATGCATGACATGCAGCCCGTCCGGGCTTTTGGCATGGCAGCCCTTGGGGCTTTGAACATGT